CATCAATTATAATTTAACGTATTGTATTTTTTTAGTAATCTTAAATTTATATTTAAGATATACGTATTTTGTCCAACTAAAACTTGCATCTATTGCATTATAGTTGATCATAATGAATTATTTTTTAATGGAAGGTGTGTTCTTTGTTATTTTTATGAAAAAAATCTAACATTATTTTTCACAATAATGCAGCTATATACAGATGATGCGAGCCATGAAATTCGTTGAGGCATCGGAGTAACGTTAGCCGTCAAGTAGCGAGAGTCGACGTTCGAGTGGACGCGCGGGCGACGGGCCATAAAAGGGAGATCGCGAGAGTGCCGGGTGCACAGTCGCGCACCGTCTATCCGCCGGTACGGTACGCGCGGCAACGTATTTGGTTCTCCGGTACAACTTGGCACGAGAAGCAACAGTTATGCCCTCGAGAATTGTTGCACCGCTGGCCGTCGACCTGCTGCACTGTTGAACTGTCGTCGCGCGTCTACGTGCGGTAAGTTAAACGAATTTTTCATAATCTAATTGCAAGATTTTTTATATATATATATACTTTGTGCCACTGTGAACTATCGTTGCGTAATTGAAGTTTAATCTGACATGTCTTATGAATCTTGTATTGGAAACATGCGTCCGCTTTTGATTCTTGATGGTTGCGCTCGATAAAGTTTCAGTAACACCATTTTAAGTGTGTGTATCTACATGTTTATAACGACGAAAAGTAGGCAGCAAAAATGAACGCCATATTTACTATGCCGAAACTAATGCCATGTTTGAGAGAGAGAGAGAGAGAGAGAGAGAGAAATATAATTTAAAAACTAGCTAGTTAAGAATGACAAAATGAGTAATACGCTTTAATAGAAACCATTACTGTCTGATTGTTATATGGAAATCTTCTAATTATATTAATTACGTGGCGCTATATTTTTAATTTCAATTCTCAAAGCGATCTTATTAAAAGTTCTGCATGAAGTTTGGCACTCGCGATGATTCTCAACTTTCAGTGCACGATACAATGCCTCTATCTTCATTTCACTATCGAATAAACAATCAAGATCGAAAATTATCATATTTTATTCGGGATTTGTCTCGAATATCGTGTTAAGTACTCACAAACGTCAACTATGAAAATTATTTCAAAGTGAAATACGACAAGAATTTGCACGTTTGAAATTATTGCCGGCCGTACTGCTGAAATTCAGTGAAAATGGTTAGTAAAAGTTGAATTTTACTCTAACAATACAACAAATACAACAAAATTTAATATATATGTGTGTTCTATAACCATATAACATTCTACAATTCATAATTGTGTTATAATTATGTGACAATTTTTTGATAATAAGTTTTCTATGACAAGTTGTTCATAACCTATACTGACGCAAGTTGATATGTTTGCTCGATAATTAGAAAAAAAGATATTAGAATATAATAGAAATAGAATACAATAGAAAACGATATTATAATGATATTGTGCTAAAATAATAGGATAGCTGAAAAGTTTTGAATTTTCAGTTTGCTGAAAAATTATAAATCTGTTCATGTCAGCTTTTATAATTTATCATAGAATTTTTTCCATTATTGTTTATTTAACTAATATCGCGTTTCCCGCAAGATCGAAACGCTACGAAACCGCGATCATGAGGAAACAAAAGTCGAGCAACCGAACTGCCGAACTTCGGCTCGAGATTAATTTGCCCGGTACCCCTCGGGAGCTTCGGAAGCCGCGGATGCCGGACGCGGCTTCTTGAACGGAGCTCTGGTCTGAGGAATTGTATATGAGATCAAGTTTGGCAATAGAGCACCGAATTTCGAAATTGCGCGCGATCATGCCCGTCAGTGTTGACGCGAATTATTTGCCTTGAAAGTTTCCGCAGCGAGTTTCGTTAAGGTTGCCAACGCAAAAATCTATCGTACGCTTTCTTTTCGCTCGCCGCAATCCGTGATGAAGCGGGCAAATCGCGCGAGAGAGAGAGAGAGAGAGAGAGAGATCATTCACGGAAATGACGACCGTGTCCGAGTAAAGAGAGATCTCTTCGAGGGCTATCGCTGTGCACCATTAGACGATTACACATGCTGTATAATTGAATTCACCGAACTGCGTTATTGGAAGTTGAGTTGTACAATGTACAACTGACACACAACTGGATTTTGTTAATGTTACACAATTTCAGGCATTAGCAACTCCGTTCAACAATGTAACTCCATTATAGAACTATCCGCATCAGGGATTGATCAAAGACAATTATAGGATGATTCTACTGTATCACTGAATGACATTTTATTCGCGCTTTGATAAATAAAATTGCCGATTGAAGTCTTTGAGACAGTCTAATTTGACTTAGTTCATAATTTATTTCATCAATATGAAATTTGCTTAAATTTATTATTTTATCGGGAATTTGGAAATTCTATTATCGCTGCATTATCGAGTAATTGTCCTTCACAAGCAAATTTTCAATATTACATAAATTGATCGCTATGCAAGTGTTTTTGTTTTGGCTTGAAAAAAAGCAAAAGATAAATGAAAAGAAAGCGTCTAATATAAATATAAATTTTTACGTAGCATACTTAATAAAACTTTCTCGGCACACGCGGAAAACAAATAAAATAATTTATACTTTTATATCTTTGACAAATTATCACATGTCAAGCAGTGTATAATTATGCTTTAGCAATATCGCGATGAAATGCGCGCAGTATATTACACATTTATTGATGATAAATAAGTAAAATGTATCCGGTTAATCATGAGATAATATCATTATGATTAATATTATAAATTATTATTGTTTAATTCGGAGCGAAACAAATTGTTTCCAAACGTATTTCTCTCGACAAAGCTCTCGCGCAAAAGCGTTCCGCAAAAATGATCTGAGGGCGGTGTATACCGAGTAGCCACGCTAGGGTTAAGCGATCTCGCAAATTACAAGAAAGTCTAATTTCTTGGCGGAATTGCCGCCGGCGAAGCTCGTTGCATCCCACGGGAGAGCCGCCGCGTGCATCGCGAGGCTTAATGCACGATGACTATGCCGCGTTGGTAGCGAACGTTGCGGTTAAATCTATATGTAGGGGTGGCACACGATGTATGCGGTGGCTGCGTGATTCGAACTACGCTCTCGAGAGAGAGAGAGAGAGAGAGAGAGAGAGAGAGAGCGAGAGAGAGAGAGAGACTTGGCGGAGTAGTTGTGCTAAATGGTTCGCAAACTAATGTTCAAAATTCGTGGCGCTGCCGCGGGACCGCGGGCGCGGCGGGAAGGAAGCGCAGCGAGCACACGTCTTTCTCAGCGGAAAGAGTGGAGGGAAGCGGATGAGGGAAAGTTGCACCAACCGACGGGATGACATTAGGTAGCAGCTTCATCTAAAGTACTCTCCATAGTCTGTTTCATGAATTATTAAACGGCGCTCTTTTGCCCGTCGCTTCTTTAATTAGTACGCCGTCGGAAATCGAAGAAGAACGTAACGCGGGATTATCTGAATGGAAAATGACATAATCACGAAACAAAATCTCCCTCGGACACTCGAGGGAGATATTTGCGGGGATGATTAAAGAGTTGTCGGTATCCGTATTGTTGATTGGCGTCGCAAATTGGGAGACTTATACGGTCGTTTTCTCGACTGAATTTCTTCGCGGACCTCCGCGACGCGGATAGGTGCATAGGGAAATGCAAACAAGATTCTGTCCATTTTTCCCTATGCATAGAAAGTGTTGTTCCCTTTGTATGCGGAACCGATATCTTATTTTCCAGCGTGTGATCGAAATACGATTTTCCGGATTGCTCGCACGCGTATACATGTATATTTTTCTTCGGGTTTTGCAATAATCAGGTATGCTCGCGAAGACGTGCAGAAACAACTTGCACTGCTTCTTAAACACATTAAAAGTATGAAATATCCACAGCGAACGATAAATGAAATAAGAATATAATAAAAAAGATTTCACGACAAGGATTATTTTCTTTTTTACGAATTCGAAATACTGCGATGCAAATATATTTCGTGATTTTCTCATAAATTTTCGTCGGTTCCTCCGTTATTGATTACTTTTATTTGTCAAACTGCAGTGCATAAAATGGTAAACTACCGTGCACGTTCCTACGCCGTAGTAGATTTGAATGAAAGTGCGCTACAATGCGGCGTGCTGCGCGCCTGGTCACTTTATTGTTGGAAGAAGCATGTACAAGCCGCAACAGCATTTTGTTGAGAACTCGGCTCGTATATATCGGTATCGGCAAGTTCCGCTCGACAAAACAAATTGCTTATACCGTCGATGGAACTTTGTCGGAAGTGTTTGGCTACGTATCGATACTTCATATGAACCGTTTGTTTAACTTCGGAAGTAGGAGAAAAAGCGGTTCCTCTTCCGAGACGGTAGACGGAAAACTGGAAAATTCCCGGGAGAACACGGTAAGATATGGAGAGTCGCGCGCGGATAAGGGCTGCGTCGCAAAATCTTGAATAAATAAAACTTCGTCTCAGGATATAATCGCTTGTCTGCTTACCTAACGCATACGTAGTCGGTGTTTCAGTACAAAGTAACGTGTAGCGAAATCCGGAAAAAACACACCTTTATAAGAATGCCTTTCAGCGCGTTAATAATGCTCGACTCTTCATTTTATCGAGATTTGGGAGAGATTTTATTGACACTGCGACAGTGAATCTTCAAATTACGTTGAAATTTTCATTACAAAATGTTGATGCTGACATAAATGTATATGTATAGCTACCGCTATACAGAATTTAATTGATATATTTATTATTGATAAAATATTCCGTTAATAGTTAAAGCGAAAAATTGTTATGTGTTAACCTTGATTATCGTGTCAGGTTCGCGATCGCCGCAATCACCAAATCCCATCGTCACCGTCTTATTTGCCACGGCTCGAGTTCTTCGAATTCTTGACAGTCTTTGGCAGGTTTAATGCCTCGCGGTCGACTCTCTCGCATATCTCCGATTTCCACAACAATCTCCAATGTCTGATTGACTTATTGTCAAATATTGAAATTTCTATAATACTTACCACACGTAATTACAAAATACATAAGATTCTACTCTAATTTTAACAGTGTACTGAAAAAGAATATTATAATTATATTAGCTACAGTATCGCTATATTGTATACTGAAACAACAGAAGTCGAGTATCAAAAATACGATTTTGCACAAATTGTGATTCTATTCTCGTAAACAGCAGGTTTACCGTTCGCGAAGGTAATTGAGAATAAAATTATTCTCAACGCGATTGTCGGGACGTAACATTGCGGAAGGACAAACAAAAGTTGTGGAGCACCGTCAAGAAAATTTCAGTAACCTTCTTTAAATTTAACTAGGACTGAGTCTCAGTACGTTTCTCGCAATTTAATACCGAGATCACGCGAAATAAACACGCGAAAATTACCACCGCGCTTGACACATTATTCTCCGATGTGTTGAAACGACTTTTTTAATCCGCGCTTATGGATTATCACGCTTACATGCTAGAAATCGCATTTATAT